TATATATAATTTACATACCATATAATTCACCCATTTAAAGTATATAATTCAATAGTTTATAATCTATCATATTATTGGGGTGCCTGGCTAGTCGGAAGAGCATGAGACTCTTGATCTTGGGGTCATGGGTTTGTAACCTATGTTGAATGTAGAGATTACTTAAATAAACTTTAAAAATCTATTATATTATTAATTTTTAAAAATTGTGGTAAATATATATATTTATTTATATGTATATAAATATATATAACATAGTGTTTGCCATCTTAACCATTTTTAAAGCTTGTATAATACAATGGCCTCAATTACATTCACAATATTGTTCCACCATCATAACTGTTTATTTCCAGAACTCTTTATCACCTCAAACAAACTCTATAACCATTTAAGCAATAACTCCAATTTCCCTCTGCCCCCAGTTCCTAATAACCTCTAATCTGCTTTCTGTTTTTATGAATTTGCCTGTTTAAGGTACCCCATTTAAGTGGAATCACAACATCTGTCCTTTTGTGTCTGACTTATTTCACTTAGCATGCTTTCTAAGTTCATCCATTTTAGCATGGATCAAGACTTCATTCCCTCTTATGGCTGAAAAATATTCCATTGTATGAATATACCACATTTTGTTTATCCATTCATCTGTTCAACACTTGGGTTGCTCCCACTTTTTGGATATTGTGAATAATGCTGTGGTGAACATCGGCATACATGTATCTTTCCAAGTCCCAGCTTTCAATACCTAGGAGTGGAATTGCTTGGTCATATGATAAATCTATGTTTAGCTTTTTGAGGAATGGTCAAGCTTGTCTTCCATAGTGGTGGCACCATTTTACATTTTTATACAATTTATGATCTATTTACTATAAGATTTACTATCTATTTACTATAAGATATTATCTATAAGATAAGACAAGTATAAATGGAAAGTCTACCAACGATCTAAGGCCGTATGAAGTATGTACTTCCTAATGTGTTAAGCCACGTAACATAGATGTGTAGGTGTCAGAGATCACTGAAGGCCTGGGGATCAAGAAAGGCTTTACAGAGGAAAGTCAGGTAAGTTGGGTCTTAAAAAATGAGGAGAGGGGCGCCTGGGTGGCTCAGTTGGCTGAGCGTCTGACTTCAGCTCAGGTCATGATCTCACAGTCCATGGGTTCGAGCCCCACGTTGGGCTCTGTGCTGACAGCTCAGAGCCTGGAGTCTGCTTCAGATCCTGTGTCTCCCTCTCTCTCTGCCCCTCCTCTGCTCATGCTCTGTCTCTCTGTTTCAAAAATAAATAAAAACATTTTAAAAAATGAGGAGAGATGGTATTTCAGGAAAAAAAATAGAGAATGAATAAAAGATATGAAGTGGAAATGTTTAAGAGATGTGTGAGACACAGTGAGTAGAGTGAGAAGCCTACTCTATGTCAAACAAATACAGAGAATAGTGGGGAATAAGTCTGCAAAAGTTGGGTGGGATTAGAATGTAAAGGCCAGTATAAAAAGTTTGGAATTTATTTTGAAGACATTAGGGAGCCAGTGAAAGTTTTTGATCAAGGAAGGGACATGATAAATTAATTTTGTTATTGTTTCATTAGGCTTCTAATCTGCCTTTTTGATCCATAATTTGTATTATAATGAAATATCTCAAACTGTCAGAAAAAGCAGAGATACTACAAAAATACTGTGTACCAATCACGTAGCTTTGTCAAAGCTTTACCTTTTGCTATATTTGCTTCAGATTTTTAAAATAAATAAAACATTATAGGTACAGTTACAGCTCCTTGTATATCACTCCCAATCCCCTTGCCCTTCATCCTCAGAGGTGATCACCATCTTGAATTTGGGTTTTGACCCTCTTGTACCTAGTCAACATTCTCCGGAAAAATAAAACAAACAGGGTGTGTATGTATACACAGAGAAGAATTTATTCTGAGAAACTGCTCATGAGATTGGTGAGGTTTGGCAATCCAAAATCTGCAGGATATGCTGGCAGACTAGAGAACAGAGAATAGTTGCAGTTCAAGTCCAAAGGCAGTCTGCTGGCTGAATTTTATCTTGCTTGGGAAGGTCAGTCTTTTTCTACTAAGGCCTTCAAGTGATTGATGAGGGTAATCTGTTTATTCAAAGTCTACTGCTTAAATGTTAATTTCATCTAAGAAATAATTTCAGAGAAATGTCTAGAATAATGTTTGACCAAATATCTGGGTACTGTGGCCTAGCCACATGGGCACTCAAACTTAATTATCACATCTCCCAACTATGTTCTTATACTTTTCTTTTTTTACATTTTTTAAACGTTTATTTATTTTTGAGAGAGAGACAGAATGAAAGCAGGGGAGAGGCAGAGAGAGAGGGAGACACAGAATCCGAAGCAGGCTCCAGGCTCTGAGCTGTTAGCACAGAGCCTGACACGGGGCTTGAACCCACAAACCGTGAGATCAAGACCTGAGCCAAAGTCAGAGGCCTAACTGACTGAGCCACCAGGCATTCCTGTTCTTACACTTT